TCAAAATAATAGCAGTGTGTTGAAAAAAGTGAATAAAGCTCAAAATCCTTCTAATAGCTTTTATTTCCATGCACACAAATGCATTGGGAACACTACACATTCTATTCCAAATCAAAACATGAAGAATATATCAAATTTGTGTTGTTCCTCTAAAAAAAATTGAAGAAAAGTGAATATTAGACTGTTCAAAAAAAATAGCAGTGTTTGTATTCTTCTTTACAAACTCAAACATTCACTATATAAACTGAAAAATGTTTGAAGATTTTGCTTTCCTTTGAATCACTTAATTCATATTTAGTTGTATAAGCACTGTTTCTGAGAACTGCTGTACATCTGTGTTGCATGGAGTCAACCAACTTCTGGCACCTGTGAACAGGTATTCCAGCCCAGGATGATTGGACTACATTCCACAGTTCTTCTCTATTTCTTGGTTTTGCCTCAGAAACTGCATTTTTGATGTCACCCCACAAGTTTTCTATTGGATTAAGATCCGGGGATTGGGCTGGCCACTCCATAACGTCAATCTTGTCTGGAACCAAGATGTTGCACGTTTACTGGTGTGTTTGGGGTCGTTGTCTTGTTGGAACACCCATTTCAAGGGCATTTCCTCTTCAGCATAAGGCAGCATGACCTCTTCAAGTATTCTGATGTATTCAAACTGATCCATGATCCCTGGTATGCGATAAATAGGCCCAACACCGTAGTATGAGAAAGATCCTTATGTAATGATGCTTGCGCAACCATGCTTCACTGTCTTCACAGTGTACTGTGCCTTGAATTCAGTGTTTGGGGGTCGTCTGACAAACTATCTCCGGCCACTAGACCCAAAAAGAACAATCTTACTTTCATCAGTCCACAAAATGTTGCACCATTTCTCTTTAGGCCGGTCAATGTGCTCTTTGGCAAATTGTAACCTCTTCAGCACATGTCTTTTTCTCAACAGTGGGACTTTGCGGGGGCTTCTTGCAGATAGCTTGGCTTCACATAGACGTCTTCTAATTGTAACAGTACTCACAGGTAACTTTACACCTTCTTTGATCTTCCTGGAGCTGATTGTTGGCTGAGTCCTTGCCAATTTGGCTATTCTTGTATCCATTCGAATGGTAGTTTTTCGCTTTCTTTCACATCTTTCAGGTTTTGGTTGCCATTTTAAAGCATTTGCGATCATTTTGTTCTTATGAACAATGTCTGGAAGGACCCATTTTCCTCAGAATTTCAAAGAGAAATGCACTGTAACCAACATGTACAACATTTGCTGCCTTCCTTCCTTAAATAAGGGAAATAATTGCCACCTGTTTTTCAAAGAATGAATGACCTCACTAATAGAACTCCACACTGCTATTATTTTGAAAATGCCCCTTTCAATTGGTGATTCAATTACACAGAATCAGCTACATACAGTCATGGCCGAAATTGTTGGCACCCTTGATATTTCTCCAGGAAATCATGTATTTCTCACGAAACGTATTGCATTAACACATGTTTTGCTATACACATGTTTATTCCCTTTGTGTGTATTGGGACAAAACAAAAAAAGGGAGGAAAGAAAGCAAATTCGACATAATGTCACACAAACCTCCAAAAATGGGCTGGACAAAAGTATTGGCACCCTTTCACAACTGCGGATAAATAAGAATGTTACAAGCATGTGATGCTCCTGTAAACTCACCTGGGGCAAGTAACAGGTGTGGGCAATATAGAAATCACACCTGAAAGCAGATAAAAAGGAGAGACGTTCACTTAACCTTTGCATTGTGTGTCTGTCTGTGCCACACTAAGCATGGACAACAGAAAGAGGAGACGAGAACTGTCTGAGGACCTGAGAACCAAAATTGTGGCAAAATATCAACAATCTCAAGGTTACAAGTCCATCTCCAGAGAACTAGATTTGCCTTTGTCCACAGTGCGCAACATTATCAAGAAGTTTGCAACCCATGGCACTGTAGCTAATCTCCCTGGTCGTGGACGGATGAGGAAAATTGATGAAAGATTGCAACGCAGAATAGTCCGGATGGTGGATAAGCAGCCCCAAACATGTTCCAAAGACATTCAAGCTGTCCTGCAGGCTCAGGGAGCATCAGTGTCAGCGCGAACTATCCGTCGACATTTAAATGAAATGAAACGCTATGGCAGGAGACCCAGGAGGACCCCACTGCTGACACAGAGACATAAAAAAGCAAGACTACAGTTTGCCAAAATGTACTTGAGTAAGCCAAAAGCCTTCTGGGAAAACGTCTTGTGGACAGATGAGACCAAGATAGAGCTTTTCGGTAAAGCACATCATTCTACTGTTTACCGAAAACGGAATGAGGCCTACAAAGAACAAAAACACAGTACCTACGGTAAAATATGGTGGAGGTTCAATGATGTTTTGGGGTTGTTTTGCTGCCTCTGGCACTGGGTGCCTTGACTGTGTGCAAGGCATCATGAAATCTGAGGATTACCAAAGGATTTTGGGTCGCACTGTAGGGCCCAGTGTCAGAAAGCTGGGTTTGCGTCCAAGATCCTGGGTCTTCCAGCAGGACAATGACCCCAAACATACGTCAAAAAGCACTCAGAAATGGATGGCAAAGAAGCGCTGGAGAGTTCTGAAGTGGCCAGCAATGAGCCCAGATCTAAATCCCATTGAACACCTGTGGAGAGATCTTAAAATTGCTGTTGGGAAAAGGTGTCCTTCCAATAAGAGAGACCTGGAGCTGTTTGCAAAGGAAGAGTGGTCCAAAATTCCGGTGAGAGGTGTCAGAAGCTTATTGATGGTTATAGGAAGCGACTGATTTCAGTTATGTTTTCCAAAGGGTGTGCAACCAAATATTAAGTTAAGGGTGCCAATACTTTTGTCCAGCCCATTTTTGGGGTTTTGTGTGACATTATGTCATATTTGCTTTTCTGCCTCTGTTTTATATTTGTTCCAATACATACAAAGGGAATAAACATGTGTATAGCAAAACATGTGTTAATGCAATACCTTTTTTGTGTGAAATACTTGATTTTCAGGAAAAATATCAAGGGTGCCAACAATTTCGGCCATGACTGTACATGTCATGACTGTTGGGTCTATTTGATTTCTATTACTCTACTACACCTGCTAGTAAATTATTTGCCATGTAGAAATATCATTTCTACCAAAAACAGTGATTGATCAGGTTAGTGATGTCTGACTGCTATTATTTTGAATACAACTGTATGCGGCCGTGTGGGCACGAGAGACCATTCATTTGAATGGACTCCAGTGCCCCGTGACACGCAGGGAAGAAGTCCCTGCACTTCTTCCAAATATGCAGCACGCACGAGAACCTCGGTTCCCAGTATGGTTGCGGTTTCCAGTGCAGGCGGCGTACCATTAGAAGTAATGGCACCCGCCCGCTGGTCCGCATTTCTTTGTGCGGGTGGTGCAGCTGCACGGATTTTTGTGCGGATCTGCAGCGGCACCACCCGCACAGATGTGAACCTAACCTTAGGGGAGTTTTACTAAAACTGGTACACTCTTGATCTGGTGCAGCTGTGTATGGTAGCCAATCTAATTTCAGCTTGTTCAATTAAGCTTTGGCAATAAATCCTGGAAGCTGATTAGTTTCAGTGCAGAGCTGTGGCAGATTTAGCACTCTTCAGTTTTTTAGTAAATCACTCCTGTAAAAGTCTATAGGGGTTTAAAGGCGGGGAGACATCTAGAGGCAGAAAAAAACCCCCACCGCCAGCACATCCAGGAGCAGCAACATTTTCCCAGGAAAAAACTCTTGATGCATGTAAACGCATCTAAACATGTATTAAAGCTAGGTGTGTTAATTCATGCAATGGCCAGAATAAATTATACAAGCATAAAGCTTTTGTTTTCTGCCAAAATGCTGCTGCCAAGAGGAATGGCATCTAGGAGAGATGGACAAACATCCAGTGTGCATGAGAGCAAGATAGCAGGGTAAAATATATTAAAACCTCCTGCGCTTCAGATGAATAAAACACTAAGCTGCCAACACCCTCCTTTTAACCAAAAAGTGCATAAGTAGAAATAAGAAAAATTGGTGTAGCGATAAACAGATGCCACTATGCATAAACATATGTACATAGATAGAACCTAAACTAATACATAGGGGTATATATACTTTCAGATATAACACAGATAATCATGCATACAAGGATAAAACCCAGTGGCACTCTCACGTTTCCTAAAGGATCACAGTTTTTGTTTGAAGTGGACTGTATAATATTCACTTTTATCACTTGTTGCAGTGTGTCATCTTTTTGCATGATTTTGTGTGCAACCACCACAAGCATATAGTCACGTTTTTCCCTATTAGGGGATATACAAGGGGTTTTATCCTTGTATGCATGATTATCTGTGTTATATCTGAAAGTATATATACCCCTATGTATTAGTTTAGGTTCTATCTATGTACATATGTTTATGCATAGTGGCATCTGTTTAGCGCTACACCAATTTTTCTTATTTCTAAGATAGCAGGGTACCTTCCCTTGGTTTTTGAGAAGTGAAATGTAGAAATGTTCCAAAGATGTAAGGCAGTGTTATACAATATCACATAAAATGCAGCCAATGAGATAGGCCTGACACTATGACATGTATGTCTATTATGGCGGTCTGCACATTGTATAACCATTATTTAACCTTGTATAAACCAGGTTAAAAAACAAAACACAAAAACTGATAAATCTACCTTGCAGATAACTTGTTTTTTAAAAATGCTTTTCCATTCTTTTGGAAAAAGACAAACAAATTCTCCATTAACTGATGACAAATTGATTTGAGCAAGATTCATTTTCTTTAGCAGACAGAATGATTATGGTCAATAAATGGAGGGGACACTTTAACCCCTTTATGCCAGCTGCACACAAATGTGCGGCCTCCCGGCGTCTGGGCCTAGACGCCGAGCGTCCGCACATTTGCGTTCTAATTCATCCCAAAGGTATTCTATTGGGTTGCGGTCAAGACTCTGTGCAGGCCAGGCAAGTTTCTCCACCCCAAACTTGCTCATCCATATCTCCACTGTCCAGTGGCATCTAACGCTTTGCATTGCACTTGGTAAGACTTGGATGCAGCTGCTCAGCTATGGAAACCCATTCCAAGAAGCTCTCTACACACTGTTGTGCTAATCGAAAGGTCACCCGAAGTTTGGAGGTCTTTAGCTATTGACTCTGCAGACAGTTGGCGAATCTGCATACTGTGCATTTCAGCATGAGCTGACCCCGCTCTGTCATTTGATGTGGCCTACCACTTCGTGGCTGAGTTGCTGTTGTAACCTAGCTGCTTCCACTTTGTTATAATACCACTAACAGTTGACCGTGGAATATTTAGTAGCAAGGAAATTTCACAGATGGACTTATTGCACAGGTGGCAACCTATCACGGTACCACGCTTGAATTCCTGAGCTCCTGAGAGTGAACTATTCTTTCACAAATGCTTGTAGAAGCAGTCTGCATGCCTAGGTGGTTAATTGTATACACCTGTGGCCATGGAGGTGATTGGAACACCTAAATCCAATGATTTGGAGGGGTGTGCCAATACGTTTGGCAATATAGTGTAGCTTGATACAAGCTACCTGCGCCTGTTGTCACTTATGATAGCCATACACAAATGGAAGGTTCCTTTGAAAATTTTAGTTTTAAGAATGCTCGCTTGATTTTGTAACTGTTAGTGGGGTCACATTGATGTACGGTTTTGGCCACAGTGCTGGAAAAATTCAAAGGAGCAGAATAGAATTTTTCTCGATCAAGCACATTTTTGGACGGTATATGCGGCTTTCGTTCTGAAATTACATTAATTTTAAGATTGATTGTTAAAGGCAAGTGGAATTGTCTGATAACATTACTTCATTCATCAAATGTGCAAAGAATTTTCGCGTGAATCATTGTAATTCCTTATGTTACCAAGATATTGCCTTCAGAGTGCCACTATAACAAGCTGTATAGTATAAAGTGCCCTTATAGCAAGATAACAAACTTATGCCTTTAGGATCATTTTAAATCACTTTTTTCTCTTGCCCAGGACTACATGTCCCACGAAGCATTGCTCCTCACACAGTCACATGTTCTCAGACACTTACTGGTATGCATAAATTGTGTACTGAGCTGTATGTGTGCTGTGATGTGTATATAGTGACATGTATAGACGGTGTACTGAGCTGTATGTGTGCTGCATTGTGTGTACTGACATGTATGGATGGTGTACTGAGCTGTATGTGTACTGTACTGTATTTCCTGACAGGTAAACAAATATTGCTTTCTGTATGCAGGCCAACTAATCAATTATGTTAATTAGATGTTTCAGCCCTAGTGGCAGGGGAATTCCCTGTCTCACAGCTGCATGTATACCTGCACCTTATATATGTGGTTACACAGACGATTGGCCAGTACAGTTGACAGCTCCCTTAGTGGGCTTGCACACATGGTTTCTAAACCTAGTTCAAACACGTCCAAGCTCATCACTAGCTGTCACCCAAGGCTGGGTCCACACACACCTTGCACTCTCCTTTTTTTCCATAATAGTGGGGAGGGGTTCTGTACTCTGCAGATAGCTGGGAACAATGTAATTAATAACCATCATCACAAACGGACACAACAAAAAGTTATCAGCTCACTGACTTCCGGAAGAATCAACAGGTATTTGTAGACAGAGATACCAAATGAATGGTTATATGCAATAGCCCAAATATGAGCAATTTCATTATTGTGGTTTACATATACTTTTAAAGTTAGGTGTAGAATTGTCAATATTTTCTACATCCCACTAAAGTGACTTTCTGGTATCAAATGATTTATTGATGATAACCGAGGATTAAATACAAAGTGGGCACAAAGGGTTGTGCAAGCTTATCTGTGCGATCTCGCCTTAATTAGCAAGCCCACGCAGGGGTGATTAATTTTCACCTAGGTCAAGGACAAAATCTGAAGATCTGTATGATTAGCTAATGTAATCTAGAGATACAGTGAGGAACAGAAGTATTTGAACACCCTCCGATTTTGCAAGTTCTCCCACTTAGAAATCATGGAGGGGTCTGAAATTCACATTGTAGGTGCATTCCCACTCTGAGAGACAGAATTAAAAAAAAAAAAATTCAGGAAATCACATGGTATGATTTTTAAAGAATTTATTTGTCTTGCACTGCTGAACATAAGTATTTGAACACCTAAGAAACAGCAAGAATTCTGTCTCTCAAAGACCTGTTACTGTGCCTTTTAAAAAGTCCACAACTATTCCACTTCTTAATTTAACTTAGTAGCACCTGTCTGAGCTCTTTAAAGACACCTTTCCACCCCACAGTCAGACACCAACTACTACCATGGGCAAGACCAAAGAGCTGTCAAAAGACACCAGAGACAAAATTGTGGACCTCCACAAGGCTGGAAAGGGCTACGGGGCAATTGCCAAGCAGCTTGGTGAAAATAGATCAACTGTTGGAGCAATTGTTAGAAAATGGAAGAGGCTAAAGATGACTGTCAGTCTCTCTTGGACTGGGGCTCCATGCAAGATCTCACCTCGTGGGGTATCACTGATAAGAAAGGTGAGGAATCAGCCCAGAACTACAAGGGAGGAGCTGGTCAATGACATGACAAGAGCTGGGACCACAGTTTCAAAGGTCACTGTCGGTAGAACACTACGCCGTCATTGTTTCAAATCATGCATTGCACGGAAGGTTCCCCTGCTCAAGTCATCACATGTCCAGGCCCGTCTGAAGTTTGCCAATGACCATCTGGATGATCTAGAGGAGGTATGGGAGAAAGTAATGTGGTCAGATGAGACCAAAGTAGAACTCTTTGGTCTAAACTTCACTCGTGTTTGGAGGAAAGGATGAGTTGCAACCCAAGAACACCATCCCTACTGTGAAGCATGGGGGTGGTAACATCATGCTTTGGGGGTGCTTTTCTGCAAAGGGGACAGGACAACTGCACTGTATTAAGGAGAGGATGAATGGGGCCATTTATTGTGAGATTTTGAGCACAACCTCCTTCCCGCAGTCAGAGCATTGAAGATGGGTCTTGGCTGGGTCTTCCAACATGACAACGACCCGAAGCACACAGCCAGGATAACCAAGGAGTGGCTCAGTAAGAAGCATATCAAGGTTCTGGAGTGGCCTAGCCAGTCTCCAGACCTAAATCTAATAGAACATCTTTGGAGGGAGCTGAAACTCCGTGTTGCTCAGCGACAGCCCCGAAACCTGACAGATCTAGAGGAGATCTGTGTGGAGGAGTGGGCTAAAATCCTTGTTGCAGTGTGTGCAAACCTGGTCAAGAACTACAGGAAACGTTTGACCTCTGTCTCTCAGAGTGGGAATGCACCTACAATCTGAATTTCAGACCCCTCCATGATTTCTAAGTGGGAGAACTTGCAAAATTGCAGGGTGTTCAAATACTTCTGTTCCTCACTGTATATGGTACAGTTGAAAACCTTCATATAAGGGAGCACATTGATATATACTGAGGCAATCGCGTGATATTGCCCTGTAGACTGGTTGAAAATTGTGTACAGAGCATGCCCTGCATGAAACACTCAAGCGACTTTTACAGATGAGACACATAAACCTTTTTCTCAGCAGGAGGGAATATTGGATGATATTAAGACCAGATTTAAGTTAATTCTACAAAAATAGAGACTCTTGCATGCGGTTATTACAACTTGTGTAAATTAAATAGTTATTGTAGCTAGACTTAAGATATACACATTTTTATTTTTTTTTTTTTTTACCTTATTTGCTGAACATGAGTGGTTTGGCAAAAAGAAATTGTTATATTTTATGGTATGACAGTTTACATTTTATTAATTGTAGAGAAAAGGTGTAGTTGCCCAGTTTTAGTTTGTAGTCAGTGCAGCTTGACCTAGGACAACTTAACATTTTAATGGATGTAATAAAATTATTGGCCCTTACTGATATACATGTCACATTTTAATGGTTTATTGCCTTAGGGTATGCCCTGAGATAACAGTTGATTGCCTGACATGGCTTTTTACCAGCGACCTTTATTTTACAGCTAAAACCATCTAGCTGTAAAATGAGGAATATATTACAATAAATTTTATTTTTGTCATGTCATTAGATCTCATCTCAATAGATGTCATTCAATAGATCTCCCCTATGTGAAGCTAAATAAAATGGAATAAGTCTCCATGTGGTCAGACATGGAGATATTTCAAAATGATCTCACCCTCAGGAGACCCCCAATTTACCCAACATTCATATCCACGGTTAAGAGCATGTTCAATAATCTCTCTTTTAACAAAGGTAGTGTACCTTGGTGCTCCATTAAATCAACCAACAGTAGGGTCGACTCGAGTTCCAGGCTGTGGGCACTCAATCTTTACCAGCTCAGTGTCTGTATGTCTTTGGGGTCTTGTATCACCTCCCAGGTACAAGGCCAGTTTGTAGTCTCTCTGCAGTAATTGGTAAACTGTTAGTTTCTTTGAGTTTGCTATTTGATGTCTCCATTCCTCAACATATTTGTCTTGAGTATCATCCATTATGTTTTTTAGTTGAGATTTTGTCAGGCCAGATTGTTGGGTGTTTGGGATACACAAGGTGCTGATGAGTTGTTGCAGGCCACATGCCTTTGACTTTTCCTTATTGGTCAGTAGGGACTTATGTTGGTATGAGTTAGGACTGCTGTTTTGTAGATGGGCCCCAGTATGATAGCGCCCTCATGTGTACTGCGAAAAGCAAAGACAATCTGCCCAGCTCAGACCGGCAAGCACTGTTGGAGGTGCTCTGATGGACTTGGAGGAGGTGCTTGCAGAATTCCAGGTGGAATATTTCTGGAGGGCTGGAGTCCCATTTGAATTGGTCTGGGCAGGTGACAGGACCCCAATCTCCACTGCCATAAAGAAGGATTAGGGTGGCATACTCGTATATGTTCAGTATATACAGCAACTAGGCACAGCATACATTCTGTTTAATCACCCCCTATTAACCATTTCCATTGTTGGGAACAATCTTGCCATGCCTATGGGCACAGCAGAATTTTGCTTTTCCATTGTATCTTGGAGTGCCCCAAGTCTTTTATAATCCACGTCATGCTCACATTTATCGTTATGCTGTTTAGACTTTTTAATTGCTAACCCAGTCAGATTATTTGTTCTATCTAGGTATTGTCAACATTTGCTTATTATTAATACTGTCTGAAATGCTGTCATATTTTAGGTTGTCAGTAAAGAAATGCTCTGTGAGTGAATTTTACATGTTCTGTTGGTAAAAAATTTAGGGGTTTAGCAACCCTGCTATATGATCATATGAAGGTTGTGTAGTGCTGGCTGCTAGGTTTTTAAAGCTCAAAAAAAAAAAAAAGCTGGTTGCTAATTCTGGGTGAGATTTATCCAAGCCTGCTTTCTTATCTTCGTCGGCTGTATGTGCATTGGCATCTAGACTGAAGTGACTAGTGATAAAATGTATATCTGTGAGCTAAACATATTTGAAAAGCTTACCTAAAAATAT